CTAGACCCAGTGACCTCGGACACATTACCTGTTGACTGGTTAATCTGACCTGACGGCTTACGCCACCATCGCAACCGTGACCTAACCATCCATAGCGACAGTTCCGTGGGGGTGGGTTCCTCTGACCGCATAATCTGACTCCATATATATATATTTTCTGGGGCCCCGCGGTGGCTGAGTTGCCCCGGGCCCCGCACCCTCCTAGGGACGGCCCTGTATATATATATATTTCATGTAGATCCACAATGAAAACGTGGATAAGATAAATCTTGATAAAATCACACGGGAAAAGGGAAACAACGGAGTCTTTACCGACTCCTGCATTGAAGTCACCGAGGATTATGACTTGGCCGCCATGTGTCCTGCAGAGAGAAAGGTCCAGTGACTCGCAACATGAGTCTTTGGCTAGATTGTCATCGTCTAATGTTGGTGCGTAGATGCTGAAAAGGGTTGCATAGCGCCCTTTAGTTATAGGGATGTGCCATGACATCAGTCTTTCAGTTAAGCCAATCGGAGTTTCTGGTACTTTGTGCAGGATGGTATTACGAACAGCAAATCCCACACTGTGCAGTCGACGTTGGTCCTCTGGGTACCCTTTCCAGATAAAGGTGTAGCCTTCTCCCACTTCTGGCAGCGAGTCCTCGCCAGAGAGGCGCGTTTTACTTACAGCGGCATGTCAATGTTGTATCTTTTTAGTACGTGCGCTACGGGGGCGGTAAGTCTTCGGGGTCTTGTCGTTACCTCTTGGGTGTCCAGAAGGGTGCAGACGTTCCAAGTCACAACTGTGAGTTGAAATCGTACTTTACGGAGTGTATTTCGACCGCAATTCGAGATGCCCTGACGGCTGCGGTGAGCCGCCCAGGAGTTGACGGAACAGCCAATTTTTAGGTCTCCTTTTCTCGACCCTTCCCCGTCTAGGGTGAGCGGTGGGGCTCCCTGAAGAGGGCTACTCAATCGCATAGGAAGCTGTTATCATAAGTAGTTAGGTTTATTCTTACGAGGAATAAGTTCCCCTTGATGTCTACAAACAAGCACACAGCGATTCCCCATGCCACTGTCTGTGCTGGAGTGTATCTGTCTTTTGTAAACATCACAATAGACAAAAGGTCCAACAGATCCTTGGTATGTGTGGTTTTGAAGAGTAATACCAGGACAAAAACTAAGGAACAATCACTAGTACCAGAGCAGAAATACCCATAAACAACCATTTGTACCAGAACAAAAAATATACTCAACAACCAGAACAACAAAAATATCCAGAAACATCCACAAAATACCAGACCCAAAAATACCTTTTATGGAAAAAATTAGGGTTTGAATACCTGTTCAAATGTGGTAGAGCAAAATAAAAAGACAAACTTTACAAATACTTAAACAGACCGTGAATACCCGGGTTCGGTCCCTGGACAAGGTGAAACTATGGGCAAGTTTCTTTACGCCATTCGCCTCTCTATCCAGCAGTAATTGGGAACCTGGATGTTAATCGATTTGCGGATCGTGTTCCAGGGTAATGGTTAGCCAGTGCAGTTGGCGAGTTGTCCGGTCTTCTCGGACTGTTCCTTGACACTGGGTCACTCAGCTCGTTAACTCGGGGTGTAGTTTTTGTGTTGGCGACAGCTTCTACACCTTAAACAAATTCACGCCTAGGTGGCCATAGGGGCGGCCATCCTCGTTACACGAGGGGCAGCCATTATTATTTTTTAGGACCTCACTTGCCCCGCCAGGATCATAACATACAGTTCTTATATCAGGTCTACGGTCGTGTTCTCCTTCAGCAGACTTTAAGTAGTATTAAATAAGGATGTTTGACAAATCAGGGCCAGGCCGCCGGGTGCATCTATCATGTCATATAACTTCTGCCCCACAACAAACTCACTCAGGACTCCACAGTGGCTGCGTTAACACAGCCATTTTATACTGATTCTAGCTAGTTTATCTCTGTTGGTGATTCTCTCTCCCTATTCACTCAAGTACTTCAATACCAACACCGACACAAGTGTATCAATGTCTACACACTATCATCACCACCATTAATGTGTTTCAATACCGACGCGTCACCACAAGACAAAAACAAAACTGTATTGTCAACACAGAATAGTACAGCCAATATAAAGTACTGTATATACTAAAGTCATCACACATTACATAAAGATCCACGCTACCTTTATCCTTACACAGGACATAACAACTGTCCCCCTCGCGACTGACAGATGCCACATATTAAGCAGCTCATGTTACTCACTGTAAAATGTCTTAAATAAACAACTTATTGGTATTCTTAATAACAGCAGCAAGAAGCCTTATCAACACCTACCTCAGACCCACCGCGACACACATTAACTACAGCAACATTATAAATTCTGTATAAATCCAATAATTTTAATGGTATATACTGTAGATGGACATAGAGATGGTTAGATAGGTTAACTAATACATAGATGGAATGGTAAACAGAATTGTTTTAGCAATTTATAACCTGAAGAAATCACATTTGACAAGGCTTCAGAGCTTCATCCCAGGAGATGTAAGAATGAAAACCCCAAATACCTTCAGAAATCCCTTCCAATTACACTGAAACCCAACCTTAACATACCAGTAAGGAGATATAATTCTAGGTAAAAGGAACTTTCATGTGAACGTCTCTAGTTATGATAAAGAATTTCAGTTAAATTTGAATAGTATTTTCAAGTTACTTTTCTTATCTTTATATTTAGTCAAACAGTTGGGAACATTATTTTATTTTTAGTAACTTTTTTTTTTATCTTCAGTCAAACAGTTAGGTATCGTATATTGTTAGTTACGAAGAATATTTACACAATACGAAACTTTGGGAAGCCTCGTCTGGTCTCTTACTCTCTCTCTCTTTCTTAACTTGAATACAAAGGTTGTATTCTCCTCCTAATTGGGAATGTGAGGGCACAAGGATGGCGACTAAGATGGAGTCAAAACTGCCCCAAGACTAGATGTCTTTACTTAAATTCTCAGTGAGGGGAAATAAATAATGCAAGACTATAAGAATCAAATCCACTAGGATACGTTGATAAGCTGGGCGTCGCAAACTACAGCCAAATCTAGCTAATGGTGACCGTTTGTGAGGCGTAAAAAATATTCAAATTATCTACGAAATTATAATGAAAATGATCTTAAGTAAAATATATCAGAAATTGTTAAGTCAATGGAAGGAGTGCCTCAATGCTTCGGCCCAGACATGTTACATAAGCGATCCTTGGGTAGCGGAGACCATCACTATCCTATTAATTGCTTACGTTCCCTAGTTCAGGGTCACAACGGTCATGGCTACAGGTCCAATAGAGATTCGAGTCATGACAGTTATATGTTCCCGTACAAACTTTGTGTAATAGTAGTAGTTGTGAACCGTGAGAAGTGGTAGTGAGAGTTGGAACGACACACAACAGCGTGAACTGCCAAATAAATACCCACATACTCTCCCTCTCCACACATCGTCAATACACTTCCACATACCCTCATATTGTCAATACACACTCACATACTCTATTTCACACCCCTCATGTCAACACACTCCCTCAACCTACGCGTCGTAAACACATTTCCCCCTCACACCCTCCCACACATCGCATACAAAATGTCTACGTAATGCATCCTTTGCCTTCACAGTGATGATAACGTTGCACACAATGTTCAGTGGTGGGACTCATTGATGGTAACACTGACAAACCTTACGTTTTTAATTACTGCTTGTTGTTTGGTTTATGACACGATATTGTAAAAAAGCTTGAACACTACTACATTTTTTTTAATATTGCCTCCAACCTCCCTTTATTGCCATACCTTCTCCATCCATGTTATTACCTATTTATCCTAGCTATTACTACTATTATTATTAATCCCTTCGTCTTTACTCGCCTCCTCCACCCACCTGCTTACTCTTCCACGCCACCGGCCCGTTCTGGTGATGGGCTACTCACTGCACCCCCTGCTCACACCTTGTAACTACTAGGGACACATACACTACTACCCAAAGGTCACACACACACACACACGCGCGCGCGCATCAGCAGTAAGGTGGGTATGACTGGCAGAGCGAGTGTGTCAACTGTTAACATCTGGCACCTCCACAGAGGCACCCTGGACCCTTCACCGTGCCAGCCCCATCACCCTACAAGCTCTCCCTCCCTCCGTCTCTCCACCACACCACTCAACCACAACCATTCACGAGTACCACTAATTCGGTTAACTCACACCATAAAATGGTTAATCTCACAAGAAAGGAAGATGCTGGTTGTCTGGGGCATCCTTGGACCTGCCCAAAGTGACACTGTTCAACAAAATTTTCCGACTACGCAAGACAGACACGAGTGCCAGTGACGTACCTTTCCGTGTTAAGTCGTTATCTCTCCCCCGGTAATGTGTAAAGATGAAAGTGAAGGTGATGGAGAAGAGAGAAACGGACAGCAGTCCCCCCCGACACACACACGAAACACTAGCGCACACCACCCAGGCTAACAGCCAACTGAGAGTCTGAGACTACCGAGTGCCGCCACGGGCGCAACTGGCCACTCGCTCAGTCTCACACACGCTACCTCCGTTTCGCTTGGCATCTCCACTGTCCCCCATTTTTTTTTCAAACTTCGTTTTCTGTGACGCGAATCCACTGGAAAGCTAACTTGACGTCTCGACTAACATACTACCACACCCAACTCACCTGCCCCCTCCCCCGTAACTAGTGTCCTGTGTCGTGTCTCATTAGGATATACAAACAAGGGGAATCATCGACCGTGTAATTAATCAACAGACGAGCTACAACAGGCAAACTGCAAAATCCACCTAAGCTAATTAAGATACTTTCCCTGTTGGGTTCTCACAGGCGGCAGTAGATTATGTGTTAGGTAAGTTAAGTAGAGTGAGTGGGGAGGTCTGTAGAGCTCCAGGTGAGATACGGGAAAGGGAGGTCTGTGTAGCCTTTAATATTAACCATTAAATGTTGGGAGTGAAAAGGAAAAACACAGGTCTTCACTTACCTGTTGCTAACTAACACCTCTTCCTCGATGACATTACCAGCAGCAGAGAAAGGTCAGCGAAAGTTTTGTGTGATCTCTTCCTTGTCGCCATCTGTGGGAAAGAAAATAAAGGAGTCAAAGTCTTAGAAAAGTAGTTTAACTTTTCCTCATGTGTACCTGGAAGAAAGGATCGACAGGTGAATATGTTTTATAACATAAAACTTTTATTGTGATGGTCATGTCGAGGGGTTCCAAGATGGCGTCAAGGGGAGTTCGGGAGTCAAACTAACGTATTAGACTAAAACCACCACACAATAAACGTCTTCTTTGCACACACATACACCAATAAAAAAGAACTAAACCATTAAAACACAACAGCCGTCACAACAAACTTTCATTTTTAACATCGAGAAAGTAAAGCAGTGAGATAAAACCATTGAATTAATTTCCTGTTGCTTGAGGTTAAGGAAATTAAGAGGTGTGTGTGTGTGTGTGTGTGAGGCTAGGATTTAATGAGGTGCTTATCATGAACACAATAAACTCTCGGTATTACAGCCACCATTAATCCCCAAAACTTGATCACGTTAATCCGCAATGGTAAAATTTAAGATCAAACTGAGAAAGCGATATACTGTACGTGCTGTATCAGAGCTGTGGGGAATCTGTCTGTCTGTCTGTCAGTTCATGAGCAATAACTAGCTAAGCTGTTTACAAAGACACGTGTAAGTATAGTCTTTGTTATTATACAGTAATACACTATTATGGTGCTATGCATGCAATATATTGCTATAACATAACATACTGTAGATAGATAGATAGTTAAATCTTATACTGAGAATTACCAATAAACTGTCCTCATTTCCAAACGGCAGGCCTGACCTACATCAAGCATCGTTAAAGGTCACAGTCGGTACCAGGCAGTGAAAGTCACTATATGGCACAGGAAGGTCAAGGTGGTACAGGAAGGTCATTCTAGGCCACCAACAGAGATTAAATTAAGTGCGCGACATAAAACAGAAAAAACACAGATTACAGATTGCCCACGAGGGGGCTAGTTTATTGGGCACCCCCTTACATCCTGTGCAAGGTGAAGCGCAGTGGCAGTGGTGGTCAATAACAGGTCACGAGGTCACAAGAGGGAGCCAGGCGGTCAATAAATTTACGAGGAGTCAGTAAACAGAGGAAAAGGTCAAGAGGTGTTAGGCAAGTGTCGAGTGAGACGCTGGTCAGCTACCCCACACACAAATACTACCCTCCACACACACACAGCTTAGAGCATTATCAATTTCTTCTTAAAAAAATACTCACAAAAGTAGAGTCTCAGTGCAATAAAGAAACCAATTTAACCATTGTAATTATAACGCATATTAAACAGGTAGAGTTATTTTGTCTTTCTTCTGTTTACACAAAATAAACACACTCTGGGTCGTGGCTTGGTCTCCCTCACTGATGGCCGTGAGGTAAGATCTATGGAGACAAGAACGAGAATGTATGGTGAAAATACCTCAGTGAAGCCCGTTCAGTACGTCGACTTTACACCTTGACGACGTTGACTTTACCCCTTAAATACGATGACTTAACCCCTTGAGGACGATGACTCGATGACTTAACCCCTTGAGGACGATGACTCGATGACTTAACCCCTTGAGGACGATGACTCGATGACTTAACCCCTTGAGGACGATGACTCGATGACTTAACCCCTTGAGAACGATGACTTAACCCCATGAAAACAATGACAACTCATTTCAGTACCATGATTTTAATCCTGAGTATGACGCACACACACACTTTTGTTAGATCATACACTGTGTATTGCCGTCACCCCCACAGTGCAAACCACACACTGACCATAATAACACGTTGTGATAGCCACAGGACACACCACGGGAAACACAAGCAGAAGGTTCCCAGCCTAGTGTGTTGACTGCCGCGGGAAACAAAACAGTTATCTACACCATAAAACACCAACCGTAACAAACGCTTGGGAAATACATACCTCGGTTGTATTTCTCATTATGGTGTTGCAGTATTTCACAGTTTCCTTAGACATACACCTGGGAATACTCTTCTCTCGGCGTATCCCTCAGTATTCCACTTTATCATACGGTATACAGTCAATGTTAGGTATTTCTGGTGCTTTATTTATGACCTGTTAGTGTGTACCTTACCTCATCTAAGCTAACTTAACCAAAAAACTTAGCAACCTACACAAACCTAACCTAACCCAATCTAATCTATCAATATAACCTAGCCTAATCTAACCAAACATAACTATACCTAAGTCAACCTAACCTAACCAAATCCAACAGTACCTAACCCAACCCAAACTGATCCAACAATATCAAACCTAACCCAACACTACCAAACCTAACCCAACACTACCAAACCCAACCTAACACTACCTAATCCAACCTAACACAACCTAACCTAACCTAAAAATAAAATCCCAAGACCTTGATTATCATATCATTAGTTCCTTACGTTACAATGCCATTTTTTGTGAAGTTATTTCCGTGTTTAAAGTCAACCATTTAGGTGCCTACTTACACCTTTCTCCTACGAGGAACAACAGGGAACAAAAGGGAACAATCGATGAACAGGGTACAAACTGGAAACACAGGAACAAACTAGGAACAAACCGGAACACATATCATACGAACCTTTGCGACAGACCACTGGAAAAGTGTTCCCACGCCACCTTCACTCACCTGACGAGGGTTTGAGGTGAACACACTCATAATATATGCGAAGTAAGTGCCTCAGATAACATATGTGAAATAAGTGTCTTAAGTACGAATATGTGAAATAAGTGCCTCGGGTAACATAATATTTGAAATAAATGTCTCGAGTAACAAGTGAAATAAGTGCCTCAAGTAACATATGTGAAATAGGTGCCTCAAGTAACATAATATGTGAAACAGGTGCCTCAAGTAACATAATATGTGAAATAGGTGCCTCAAGTGAATTAAGTGCCTCGGGTTATAGGTCACACATTATCAAACACAAGAGTTCAGCACAGGAGCTTGGCACTTGACACACAACTCTTCCTAAGTGTCAGTTCGGCACTGTCGGGTCTTCGCATCGGTTCAGGTCAGATAACAGCTTAAGGAGACAACAGCAAAGACAAAATGACAGGTCGACTTACGGAGGGTTAGGCATTACGTAAAACTAGGGTAATAACTGACTTGGCACTTGAGGGCTTCTTCACTGACCACGAGGCACTTATGTCATCCAGGCACTTCCGTCTCTTGTGGGAAACTCCTCCTTATAAACAAGAACTATGAACTACTTTCCTCGGCTGTCCAAGAAAAGGTAAACTATTGCTGATATCAATACATATGGATCCAACTGACGAAGAAAGCTCGGCAATTCTACATCTTTTTTGGTGTATGAAGAGTCTTGGTAATCCCAGAGACAGCGGCGTTGCCTTATCTGGTCCACCAAGAACTCCTGGGAGAAGTGTGTCCGTACTTGGGAAACTATTTTACCTGATGGCTCCTCTGGTGTTGTTCTTCCCGCGTGGTCAAAATGTAAACAACAAATAACAGTTTATCTTCTGTTTAAATCACGAAATTAAACATAAAAATTAGTAATCTTTGGAAAGAGTAATAATACTTTCAAAATAATTTTAGCTTTATAATTTAAGTAGAAATTATTTTATTTTTATAACTATTTGTACTGTAGTTTCAATTATAGATCTTTAGTGGACTCCTGTAAGTTGTCGGTGCTGGAGTGTCAGAGTTAAGTCAAAGAGTGAGGTAAACTGCTGCTTGACATAACAAACCGGAATTCTCAAAGTTTTAATGAGTGACATTGGTAGGTTAATACATCGGTTTGATCGCAACAGCATTTTATTTGGCTGTTCTTGGTGTGGTACAGTACAGATTACCTCATAACCAACCCAGGTCAGGGTCTCAAGGGTGTGTGACATAATAACAGCTGGTTTTTTCCGGGTATTCCGGTTTCCTCCTGTTTTAGTACTGGGTAACGAAGGTCGTGTGTAATTAAAGAGCAGAATGGTTATAATAAGATTGTTGTTGGTAAACCTGTACCGCTTGCTTACTGTGTTTACATGATGAACCGATGTTGAACTTGTATAAACATTTCCTATCTGGTTTGCAACTACATTCAATTACGCTGTACACATTCCTTAAAAAATAAGACAAAAATATCCTAAAATTTTAAAATAAGCAACATAATCTTTAAAGCTGTTTCTCAATAATTGATGAGTAATTATCCTAACATGTACACGAATAAATAGTCTTCAAGTCGGTATTCTTTTGTTTTGTTGTTTGATTATTGTTCAGCAACATTGTCATATAAATTAACATTGTTTCATCATATACTTAGTGCAGTTACACAAATAATGGTAACCAGTGAGGTGATATAACCCTAGCACGTTGTAGAAGCCGTCATCCACGAGTCTCAAGTAATGTAATTAGTTCTTTAGTATAGATTGTCATCTGAAATTCACCTCAATATCTTGGTTTGTCGTGTTTGCCAATACAGAACTATATAGACACTCGCAATGTGTTAGAACAAACCGGAATGCCACGGACGCCTTCGTAAGATTTGAAATGTTAAAAAGCATACTCGACAAGGCTATCGGCGTCACACTAGCATTTCTATTGTTAACTTTTCATTACTGTCAACTTTTTTCACGAATCGGTACAGAAACTTGGTGCAGGGGCCACATACGCCAAGCTTGTTGCGTAAAAACGTGTTTGCAGTGTACTTTTACTTACTTTTTTACTTTTATCCTCTTGGCCACTGATCGGCTTGTTAGCCGCTTGGGCGATCGGTCACGTTTCTTGACTCATCTTTACTCCGTGTATCGGTCACATCAGTATAAGATAACTTAAAAGATAGAGAACTGGTGCTACATGTTATTCACTTCTTGTTCACTTGTTTATTCCCATTTATTATATGGCGACCACTGAATCTCTTTAATTCACATAACTAACACAGCCCATTATTTGTGATAATACATAAACTAACAACATGTACATCACCAAACAGCCAAAACACTCAAAATTTATTTCAGTAAAGGTGTAGAATAGCGCTAACACCAGAAGTTGTTTGCTGATTTGGTATAAAAAAATCGTACACACTAATAGCATGACATTAAACACAGAAATGGAAACAATACATAGAACCTAATAGAACCTGACCTAATATACCCATAGGTTGGGTATGTTAGGTCAGGTTTTATTAGGTTCTATGCATTATCGTGTTAATTTAAGTGTTAAATAACTTACCTTAATATTGAGGTTGATGGACATCACCAATGGCGAGCAGGAATTCGTGGAAACGTTCACCATCATTTAGGAAACATCTGATTCAGCGAGGTAAACAACAAAATTGGCGCTGGGAGAACTGTGCAGTGGGATAGAGTAAATTAAAAACAATTACAATACTTAAATCATACTCAAAAGTTGTCGTTTCTTTTAATATACTTAAAATCACCAAAACAATAAGTATAGCGAAAATAAAGAAAATCAGCATACAACTTCTGGTGTTAGCGCTATTCTACACCTTTACCTTAATTTCCTCTTTGGCCAACAAACGTAAGAGTGAAGGACTAGTTACGCGCCTCACAAGATTCTCACTTTCCCTCAAAACTAAAGGCCACCAACACTCACTCACCTTCGCCATTACCGAGATATTTTCCGTGTCATTTTCTTCTTATTTCGTACACTTTCAATAGCCACAACAAGTAAACTCCAGTTACTATGTCAATGTGCACCTGACAGTGATGTTGCAATACACAGTGCACGTCACTCTCACTCCTTCTTTAGCACAACACACATGCACTGCCGTCTACTAGTTTTCTCCGAGTCAGTGGTGAAGAGTGGAGAGTCGCAAACCAGGCTAACTTACCGAATAACCAATGCGCTCAAGATTTTTCATTATGATTTAAAATTTTCCTTTGTGTTTCAACGTTCCCATACCGTTTTCTTTATCAAAAACAAATGATTTTAGATTTGGTTTTGTTTATAATTTGGGGGGTATTTGGATGTCACTAGTAACACAGATTAATCTTTACAGAATTTTGTATCAGCGAGAATATTTTCAAGTAGTATTAGTCAGGCAGATACCAAAGAACGCAATGAGTGACATCATAACCTTTCACCGTCCGGGAAATAGCTCAGTTACCAACAAGTAAATTTTGAGTGAATAACAACGCTGATATTTTCGTGCTGTTTTATGTGTGTGTTTACCAGATAAATTGTGTCGATATAACAAATTACTTGACCAGCATAATAACTAATATTTTGTAAGATTATGCAGCTTATTTACATATTCCTAACTATAAAGAAATGTTCAATAAAACGTTGCTACTCGTGTACAATGAAACAAAATTGTGAACTAGTCAATTGTTGAGAAGTCTCTAAAGACGTATTTCCAAGTAATAGAATGTATATTTTTCTTGCATTTATGATATACGGCATGTAATGGATATTGCTATTCTTATGCACATAAAAATCTGAAGAAAAAAATTCTGGGCGAGGGAGTGTGGGGTTATGAGATTGTGGGGTTCAGGATGTTTGGTTCACGCTCAGGATGGGGGTGGAGAAAGGAAACTCACAATGTGCTCTCTATATACATGTTGTATTGGATGTACAATGCAGCTTGGTGCTGGGAAGGCAGCATGGTTACAAGTGTGATGTAGAACATAAGAACATAAGGAGTCTGCAATAGGCCGGTTGGCCTGCGCATGGCAGCTCCTGTCGAGAGTTACTACCACTCTCTATCATCCATGAATCTATCTAGCCTCCTTTTGAAACTTTCAGAGTTCCCGCACTTACTACAAAGTTGGTAAGCTTGTTCCACTCGTCCACCACCCTATTTGTGAACCAGTTTCTTAAATTCTTCCTATCTCCCTCCTAAACCTAAACTTATCCAACTTGAATCCGTTGCTCCGAGTCCTATCCTGCTCGGATATTATAAGAACTTTATCTATATCCCCTTTATTGATTCCTTTCACCCACTTAAATACTTCTATCATGTCTCCCCGCACTCTTCGTCTTTCTAGGGAATGCAAGTTAAGTTTCTTTAACCTATCCTGATATGGAAGGTTTCTAAGTCCTTTTCATAGTCTCTCTTTGCTTTCCTTACATTTTTCTTAACATTCCTAGATAGTTCATTATACCTATTTCTGAGCTACTCCTCCCCTCCCTTTAATTTCTTATATATTCCTTTCTTTATTCCTATGTCATGTTTAAGTTTTCTGGTCATCCACCTTGGCTCATTCTTATTTGACCTAATTTTTCTGTATGGTATCTTTTGTTCTTGTGCTTTATGTAGTATACTAGTGAATATATTATAGTCATGATCAATTGTTGTGTCATCTATGACCTCACCCCTTCCTACTGGGGACTGACGTGACTGTTCCCAGGTGACCTCACCTAGGTACCTTCTTAACCCCTGATAATCCGCCAACCGAAAATTTGGGACACTGACCATATTGTCATTGTTTTTCGTTTCCCAATTTAGGGTGAACCTGATTTCTGTGATCACTGTTACCTAGTTCTTCCCCTACTGTGATATCTCTAATAATATTTTCTTTATTTGTTAATACTAGGTCTAATATATTGTCACCTCTAGTAGGTTCTGTAATTAGTTGTTTAAAAAAATTGTCCTGTACTGCGTCTAGGAAGTCTTCAGATTCATAGTCGCCTACAATGTTGTCCCAGTCAATATTTCTGAAGTTGAAATCCCCCATAATGCATAGGTTGTTATATTTTGCTGCCCTACTCATTTCCTGCCATATGGGCTGAGCTGCTTCTTTGCCAAGACTTGGGGGCCTGTAAATCACTCCCATAATTAGATTTTCTCTTCCTTCCGTGATTTCTACCCACACAGACTCGGTTCCTATTTCACCCTTTATTGAATTATTAATACAACATTTTAATGTATCCTTGACGAAGAGTGCGACCCCTCCCCACTTCCTACCTTCCCTGTCTTTGTGAAAAAGGTTGTACCCTTCTATGTGGTACTCTGATAAAAAATTTTTGCTCGTCAGATTCATCCAAGTTTCGGTGATTGCTATGACGTCTACATTCTTGGTACATACAACCGCTCTCAGAGAGAGAGAGAGCTGGTTGGTGAGGACGCTCACAGGAGGACAGCTTGTGGGTCGCCATGCTCGCCGGCGGGAGAGAGGACCACCAGGCAAGCGGAGGAGGAGCGAGGGCCGCCAGGCAGCGGCGGAGGAGGAGGTGTGTTGCTGGCTGGTTGGTGTGGGTAGAAAGAGACAGGTCACCACGAGGTCAGGTCTTAAATAGCGGGGGGTAGGCGTGGCTTAGTAGTTGACCCCCGCTCCGTGATGTATGGCGACGCTGGTTGACCTAGACCACGAGGCATACACTGGGGAATTGGTGGGGTCAGCTACTCAGCGACAAACAGCGTTTGTAGGGGAGAAATCCACTACAAGATATTGGTTCACACTCAGGATGGGATGGAGAAAGGAAACTCACAATGTGCTAACTATATACATATTGTATTGGATGTACAATGCAGCTTGTTGCTGGGTAGGTAGCATGGTAATAAGCATTGAGTAGAGAGAGCTGGGTGGTGAGGATGCCCAGAGTGAGGGCACTCGGCTTGAGGGACGCCTAGGTCGCCGGCGGGAGCCGCCGCGGAGGAGGAGGTGTTGCTTGCTGGTGGCACTGGGTTGAAAAGAGGGTGGTCACAGCGGTGTCAGCGGTGGGATTAGGCGTGGGTAGATAGTTGACCCCCGCTCCGTGGGCGGCGCTGAAGGCATAGACTGGGGAATTCGAGAAGGTTCGGTGCTTGTAGGGGAGGAATCCACTACAATACTCCCCTTCCCCTCCGGGCATGGCGGGAGGCTGGAGGTTGGCAGGGTTGCGTGCCACATGCGAGGCAGAACGGGCGGTGCATGCCACATGTGAGACATAACGGCGAGGGCGTGGATGAGCCGGCCGCTAGGGGGGGCAACTCTGTCTAGATACACGAGATCTGTGGGAGAAGGAGGGTTGCGGAGGCGATGAATATTTTGCTTCCCTCGCGACAGGTACAGAGTCCTCAGATGCGCCTGCTGGGGTGTGTGGGCCTGGGTCAGGAGCAGGGGCTGCGTTAGGAAGAGTGTCCATGACAGCAGCAGGGTGCATGACAGCAGCAGGGTCCACGACAGCAGCAGGGTCCACGACAGTAGCAGAGGGTACCTGAGGGAGAAAAGAGGGGTGTGTGGGTCCGCGTCCGGAGCAGGGGCCGCGTCAGGAGGAGCGGCAGGGGGTACTGCTGGGCCGGGGGAGGCGTCTGAGGCAGGACGGGTGCGTTGGGGTCGGTAGGATGTGGTGCTTGGGGCAGGAAGAGGAGCGGCTGTCTGCTTAGAGTAGCAGAGCTGCTCTAGGGTGTCTAACCTGCAGTGTAGAGACAGTAGTTGTAGAGCCGATGAGAGCTGCCTCTGCGTGGGTAAGCCAGTCTTCCATGTTGCTTGAAGACTGGGAGAGTGATCAGTTTCTCCTCCATCCTGTGTGAGTGCGAATCTCCGGGGGTCACCATTTGTGGGGTTATGAGATATTGGTTCACACTCAGGATGGGATGGAGAAAGGAAACTCACAATGTGCTCACTGTATACATATTGTATTGGATGTACAATGCAGCTTGTTGCTGGGTAGGTAGCATGGTAATAAGCGTTGAGTAGAGAGAGCTGGGTGGTGAGGATGCCCAGAATGAGGGCACGTGGCTTGAGGGACGTCTAGGTCGCCGGCGGGAGCGGGAGCTGCCAGGCTGGCGCTGAGGAGGTGTTGCTTGCTGGTGGCACTGGGTAGATAAGAGGGTGGTCACAGCGGTGTCAGGCCTTATAAGGCGGGGTAGGCGTGGGTCGATAGTTGACCCCCGCTCCGTGGGCGGCGCTGGAGGCGTAGAAGACTGGGGAATTCGAGAAGGTTCGGTGCTCGTAGGGGAGGAATCCACTACAGGAGACATCTCACAATTCCTGCAGAGTTTTAATAAATCTCCGGCGGATATAACACTCCTTATCAATAAAACATAATTTTCCCTGCATACGTATTATTATTATCATCATTTTTATATTGGTTCGATAATTGTGTAAAATTTACCTGGACATGGGAGACATTTCACTTGTAATCCATTCAGAAAGAGAAGACCCATCTGATCTGAGTGAGGACTTTTGAGTTGTACAAATGAGTATACGTTATCATTACCATTAAGGATGCCAGAAAATAAAATTATATGGTCTTTAAACTACAGCCGACACATTATCTATCTGAGAGTCGTGTACAGGTGGGTTTTGGCTTTCTTTTAAAATTATATCATCTCTAAATTATTTGTTATGCACTTATTTTATTATTACTATAAGTCTTTTATTTTTTTTTAATATTTATTCTTTAATACCGTCAACTTTTTATTTATTTATTTCTCAATGTCATTTTTCAAAACATTTTAAATTTGTTTACGCTTACTGTTTTCTTTTAAGTTCGTACTTAGCCAGGTAACACTACAATAAGACATCAAAACTCGGAAATAAACGACAACCAACCTCCACCTCTGCCATTGTGAAACTGTTCAATGAAATTATAATCATACCCTGTTAAAGGAATATCCTTCCTTCCTTAGGCTTTATATATACTTGTAATAATAATAAAAATAGTAATAATAAACGGTTTATTACTAGAGTTGCAGCCGGTGGCTGAAAATATATAAACTTACATGTAATTTAGACATAATAATATACATTCAATACATTTACAGGGCTGTATAGTACATAAATCAGGAGCTGTTTATTATTTTAACAATAGATGGGATGGTGCTATTCTTATGTCTATCAGTGCGGGCTCTTATGGGCTGAATTTTGTTGTAGTGGCGGACTGCGC